ACCGACCTTCGCTTATCCGACATTCCGTCTTATCTAACGCCCCTAAAAAAAACACAACACGCATAAATCGGCAACGAGAAAAGTGTGCCGCTTGTTTGTGAGCGTGAGTGTACTCTTTCTTGTTACTCCTGACAGTGCGGCGCTGCCAACACAAAAATCGATTGCAACAGGCACAGCAGATCGGTTTTTTTTTTTTTGTTACTGCACTCAATCGTTACTGTGTGTTATCCGACATTTTCGCTTATCCGACGTTCTGCCGGCCCGTTTATGTCGGATAAGCGAGACTCTACTGTACTCAGTTCTTCGACACTACTGACTTCATGGAAATAAAAAATCTGGAGCTACTTTCAAATTGGTATAGAATCTTTGAGTGGAAGTGCCTTCATACTGTCAGGATCTAGGCGAGCAACTATCAAAGGGCTATTAGAAAGTTATTAGAATATTGATAATGTTAACAGGCATGTGCTAATTAGCTAGTAAGTACAAATGTTAGTTTGGGAAGGAATCATAACTTGTGTAGATGGTTGCTTGTTCCTGCCATAAAAGGGAAGGGGAAATGGAGAATAAACAACAAAGGCCAGGTGCGGTGTTATCTAGCCTCAAGGCGTCGGCAAGGCTGAACAACCGTGAGACCAAAGAAGAGGCGCAAAGGAATCAAGCGGGAAAATAGAGTAGAGGGGGGTTAGAAGGAGAGCCCTGGCCAGGGAGGGTTAGTCTCAGCAATCTATGGAATGCTGTATGCTGCTTCTCAATAAAGAAATCTTTACTGGAAACAAACTGGCTCCAGGAGATTTACTGGAATTGGGAACCGAGCATGCAGACTCTGACACATACAAACTCTTTGGCAGGATATCATGATCAACAGTGCTGAATGCTGCTGAATTCCTGGAAGAATCAGAACAGCTTTACTGCCATCCTCTAGGGTTACAAGGCAGCTTCAGTTGCAAAACCATGCCTAAACTCTACCTGAAATGGAACTAGAAACTATCCATTTCATCCAAGAATGTCTAAATCTGATAAATTACCACCCACATGATCACCTTGCCTAAAGAGAAGATATTAGCCACAAGTCATCACTATTCATCTATTCTAAATCCAATGTTTGTTTGTTTAAAAAAAAAAATCAGGGCTGGTCTTTATCACCTGCTTTAAAACAGTTGGGATTACTCCCATTCATCAGGAGTGGGAATAAGCTGGTCACCCCTTCCCTGCTAAATGTAATCCACGATCGGCAGGAGCTCAACTTTAGTTGTCTGCCTCTTGGGGTTATGAGTACTGGAAATCATTCAAAGAATCTGGTTAGACACATCTACCACCTCCACAGACTAAATTGCCAGAACTGGGAAGGCTCCAATCAATTTTATCCTTGTATCTTGCAAATATGTCACAGCATTCCACCAAGCTCTACCAGGGCTTAGAAGACTGAAGAACACTATACATTCAATGATGCAACAAATGTTTAAAATTAATATTCAGATGAAACCATTTTTTTTTATTAGGACTTATGGATACCCAGTGTGCATGGAAGATTGGTTTTATATATGGTAACTGCAGTGAGGCTATTATATGCACAAAGATGGAAAAACACAGAAGTACCTTCCCATATTTAACCCTTTTTTAATCAGCAAATCTAGAGATCACCAGTTCATTTTTGACCCAGTGTGCATGGAAGATTGGTTTTATATATGGTAACTGCAGTGAGGCTATTATATGCACAAAGATGGAAAAACACAGAAGTACCCACAATGGAAGAGTAGATTGTGAAGATGGCAGAACTTGAAGAAATGGCAAAATAACTTGTTTGATTAGGGACAAAACAATAAGTACTTTTATAAAAGATTGGAAAACTTTTATGAACTTTTTGCTGAAAATGGACAAAAATGAACTGGTGATCTCTAGATTTGCTGATTAAAAAAGGGTTAAATATGGGAAGAAGGGAATTATATAATATAATTCTAAAGGGAGAGAGATGGTAAAAGTTTGTTTATAACACCTGTACAGGTAGTCTTCGGGTTATGATGGCAACTGGGACTGGGATTGCTATTGCTAAATGATACAGCCGTAAAGCGCGACATCATGTGACTGCATCACTTAGTGACAACAATCCTGGCAGTTCTGGTTGCCATCGTAACCCCAAGATGCACAGGTCATCAAGTGGGAAGAGGTGGGAGTTTCAGGTAAAGAGCATGGGAGTGGGGTGGTGCCGTAGTGGTATGGGGGAGGCCAAGGGAGGGCCGACGCAGGCTGTGCGCAAGTCATGGGAGGCCACAGGAGGGCCTGGGTGGCCCTCGCATGCTGCACATGGGTTGGGGAGACCCTGGGAGGGCTGACACGTGTGTGGAGGGGTTGCTGCAGGCAGGAGAAAAAGTGGGAGCGACTTACCAGAGCAACTTGCAACCTTCCCTACTGGCTTCCTCACTGACTTTGGTTGTGGAAAGCCGGCAGGGAAGGTCACAAATGGCAATCTCATGACCACAGCTCCCTGGGATGTCATAATTGCAAGCTGGAGGATGTTGTGAGGGCCACAACTTTGTGAACTGGTCATAAGTCTCCCTCATTCAGTGCCTCCATAACCTTGAATGGTCACTGAACGAATGAATGTAAGGCTAGGACTACCTGTAAAGAAGATTGTAAGCCGCTTGTTTAAGTTTCTTTTTTCTTTTCCTTTCTTTATCTGTACTGCTTCTAGAACTTTTTCTTTTATCTTTTGCCTTTTTCTACTTTTCTTTTACATATTTTTCTTATTTATCT